ACACACACAACATTTTCCTTTTCAGTGGCACTATAAAAGTGCCGCACAGTGTTTTATGGGAAAAACCTACAGCCACAGGCTACACACCATTCCACAACATGGGAGAAGGGCAAACAGTAGCAAAAACTGGTTGAATCTACAACCATAGGCTGCCCACCCTTCGCCAAATCTCATCTATTAAGGTTATGGGAGACAGGGACAGAATTGTGTCACCCCATAACACCAAGTGCCCAAACAAGGACCTTTATATGAGTATCACAAGTATCATCAGTATCACCCGTTGTTAAAGCTAATATTAGATTTTAATGGCTGGGTTTACATCTACTTTAAAAAGATTAAGAGAGTCACATGCTTTCTCAAAGGAGAAAAACAAGTACTGCTGTACTGATGCACATTGCCTAGGAATATTACACTGTAGTACTTCTTTTTCAAAAAAGATGCCTTGCTTATAAAAATAATTGCAACCCGCAACAATTAGGATATATGCCCTGTGGAAAAACATATGCAGCTGGTTATCAGTGCGGACGAACAGGGATGGACTGTGAAAAAAATCAGTTGCAGCCATTAGAAATTCGGAAATATTCCCTGTTAAAAAAACAAAACAAATGCACCTGAAGGTTTCAGCTCAAAATTTTCTAGGAAGCCACCTCTCTGTGGCTCAGCCTTGTCTTGGGACTACAACTTCTGTAGGTCAAAGCAGACCTAGCATTGCAAAGGAGAACTATGAGGTGAGTGCTTTTCACTCATCCTCATAGTTCTAGCCGACCTGTGACAATGAAACTGTCACAGGTCGGCTTAGTAGATCAGGAAGTGAGCGCATACCGGCGTTCGCTCACTTCTCGATCCTGTCACGGCTCTCTGCCATGACAGGGGAGGGACTGGATTCCCCCCATCCCGCTCCGATCCTTCAGCGCTGACTGGCAGAACGGACGGGGGAGGGGGCGGGTACAGCTGGCTCTGCCTCTAGATAGGCAGAGCCATCTGTCACTCACGCAGCTGGGCGGATCCAGACATAATTGTCGGGATCCGCTTCAGCTGCGGCATCTCAGTATATCGCGAGCTGTAGCTCGTGGTATACTGAGCTTAGGGTGACTGGAGAGTTTGTGTCCTCCCGTTACCCTAAGGAGAACTATGGGGAAAAGCCCTAACCTAAAATACATGTCAGTGCTAAAACTGCTTAGAGAAAGACATCTTTAATTTAAATTGTTATGTTTCAAATTTAGCTTTAAGCAAAAGATATAGCTCCTGAAACCCAGTCTGTGCAGACAGTATGGAGCTTGTTGATTCAACAACATCCAGAGACAGGGTCAACTGACCAAGTGAAATCCACTGTCACGTTTCAAATTTTGTTTTCTAAGGTTTTCAGAGGTGACCATCATCCTGCAGAAATGGGATGGTCATCCTATTAAAAGAAATAGCAGAAACTGGCAGGGTCAACATGTATTTAATAAACAATAATCATTCCAATACATAAAAACCTTGCACAACTACATTTACAAAGCAGAAAGGGAACTATTTATACAACTTTAATCTTTGTGTTTGCACACACTTTATTAAACATAGAGGACTCTGTTGTACACATGTGCAAATTTAAAAAGAAACCACATACTGTTACTGTGTGGAGGACGGGGTTGGGGGACAGTGCAGGTAATATATGTAGGGCTGGTAGCCCTGGGCGGAGTTATACTCCCAATCAGGAGGATGGGACCTGCAGTCAGTGGCAGCTGCTGTACATTATGTAGCTATCTTCTCCTTGCTGCCTGAAAGTGTGCAAAAATATTTTGCTAGTATACAAAGATTATTTAGGTTTAGTAGAATTAATTGTTATGACTTTTTCCTGTGCAGGTTTTGGTTAAAGTGTATGTCCAGCAATTTATGTTAGTTTTGGATAAAATTTAGGAAGGAGTAAGGCAACTTTTTACAAGTTTTTACTGATGCCTCTGTTAGAGAATGTTTCCCTCAATGGTTACATGAGACAGGAAATGTGGTAAAATTTCCAATAGTAACACTGACAGAAATAAAAATGCATGTTGTGCCATCAGAGGCTCAGTTGGAGAGGTTACTTTACTTTCTGTCTAGTATAAAGGTTGTCCCCCTGGACAGAAAGTGAGGGGAGATCTTTCTAACAGCAACAAAGACAGGAGAGAAAATGTTTAGTTTTTTTTTTGTAGGGAAGGCTAGAACCCCTGTAATCTTTGTATTGCTATCTCTGTCCTTGTAGAAGATTTTTCCTCACTTCCTGTCTGGTTGACTCATTGTCACTGTGATGGGAAGTAAGAGAAACTCGGATTGTACAACCTCTATACAATCCCCTTTAGAGTTACCAAAATTATGTAATATGAGGTAAACCCAATCCTAACAATCCATTTAATTTGGATTAAAACAAGCAGGCTCTACACAGTTGATGGTAGACCTATGGTAGATGGCAGATTGTATAGCATATGGCCAGCCCAAGATAGCTGTTACAACCTGAGAGGGGTTCTAATCCTTCCTGAGTCTATCCAAACTAAAAATAAAAGTTTTGAATGGATTTACACTTTAAGAGGCACTGTGCACCTTCTTTGTGAATTATACATGTTAAGCAATCAATTTGTTTTCTAATAAAGCATGCTTCCTCCAAATGATCCAAACTTAAAGTGACACTAAACTCAAAATGTAAATCTTAAAAATGTATTCCAGTACCTTAACTATCTACAAAAAGGTATCTTATTTGTGTATCACTCGGCTGTAGATCCTCAAATCATCTCTGAATTGGTGCTGACACTGTCCTTCCTTCTGGAGGGGGGCTACTTTTGTTCCCCATGTTCCCCATAAAATATTTTTCATAGAGACAATTGAACTGCCATCCATTACATGTGCCTAAGTTTGTGATCAAGTTGGGGGAAGGGGTGAGACTAGAACCAACTCCCTTTAATTCCTGCATCCCTTTTGAGCTTAAATGTGTCCACATCCCATCGCACTCCTGACCAGTATAAAAATTCCATTGATATCGGGTGGGCGCAACAGTGCATGTGGATGGCACCATCATTTGGTCACTTTGTTTGCCTGAGGAAGAAACCAGATTGGGTTCCGAAACTATGAGACCTATCTTGTCGTGTCAATAAAAAGGGTTTCACATTTAGGATTTTGGAGTGCCAGTGACCTCTTCTTTGCTCATTTTAGCTCACTAAAGCTGGGTGATATTAATCAAGATTCTGAATTTCTGCTATAGG